TGCCTGTACGTATTTTGATAACAGGACCATGTAACATTATTGTTACTGAAATTATCAAATAATTTAAGCGAAATTTCCATTTTTTAAATTACTACGTGAAAGCATAATAGCTATGTAGATAGGTACTCAAAAACAAGTGGATTTTCGTCTTCACCGATGTGTTTTCACTTTATTCAGTGGTTAGATAGTAACGTGTTCTAATAATCATCTAAGGCCGAGGAATGGGGATATATTTTTTGCATAAACAGCCTCAGTGTAGTATACAAAAAAAAATATGACTTCATTTCAACGATAAATGCAGATGAATTGATGATACACAATTCGTAACGGATTTAAGTTATATTTTCTGAAATAAAATCAATATTATATTTTTCATTTGTGAATACGTATTTCATCGATTAAATATGTTATCATTATTTTCTTTTTAACTATAAAAATTAAAAACTAAAATGTTTCCATGATACGTTGTTTGTATTTATATATTTGTTAAAAATACTTGATTAATTTATCTTAAAATAGATATTTAAATATTTGAATGAATAATAATAAGTAATAAATATTTTTTTTCAGTTACTGACCCATTATAGCTTCTTATTCAGAATTTAGGTAAAATTACAATTTATAAAAAATATTTGTATAATATATACCTAAAAGCTAAAAATATTTAACCAACTATTTTTTGTTACAGTTATTTATTGTTTAATAAAAGTACTTTTTAATTATAAAATTATCAGCATCATTCTCCTCTTATAAGTTTTGTAGGTGTCTATATTATTTTCTATACAGAATTGCTTATTTATCCATGTGTTTAATATTTAGGTACATATTTTTGAGTTTAATATTATATTGTAGTATTTAAATAGCAACACTTTTTTATAAAAGTATTTGAAATATATTTAAAATTTTAATGATTAAAAAGTACGGGTTCTAGCAACCATTATATTAAGTTTAGGAAGAAATAAAAAATTGATATTATCATACATTACACAACTTTAATTAGGTTACTAAATTGTACTTTTAATAATTCATATACGGTACATTATTACAGACAGATCGTAATACAAATTACGGATAAACTTGAAATGAATGCTTAATGGATTTAAATATTAGACCGTAATTTGCGAATAATTGCGATTGAAAACAGTAGTGCAATGAACGTTAATACATTGAACAGATAACGTCCTTACTTAATTTTATATATATATTATTATTTATTTTGCTATGCAAAAGGTTAATTAAATTTTGATTCGGTTAAGGGTCACCATCAGATTGTCACTGGGAAGCGGTTGTGCACCGAAAGTAAATCCTTGACGTCCCCGATAAACGCGGGTCGTGGTTCAATGAAGGTGTCCAAAACCTTAACTAATTTCATTTCATTTACTCAATGTATAATTAGAAGAAAAACAACAAATACAATAAAAGAAAGAATTTCCACACGTATGACGGTGACTGCTCATTGCTGTGTTAGTAATTTATGACTAAAAAATAAACAAAACAAAAACAAATAAACTGTTTAAAATTGATATTACGCTTTCACGTTTCAGGCTGCTTTGAAATATTAAAATTTAAAATGTTTCGAAGGACAGTATGATTTTTTATCACATTTTTGATCACATTTGTCATTTTAGCATATAAAAGATGGATATTTTCTTTAATTCAGATTTTTAGTAAGAAAAACTGAGATCAATTGAAAATTTAAAGTTATGTAATCCAATAGCAGTTAMAAAAAGTTTTGTGACTGAGAATTGCTTTGACGAATGCAAATGGTTAAAAATATGTTGAATATGATTGGAATCATTAGCATTGAGTGCATTTTTTTATTCCTTGTTATAAAATCCGTGTGTTATTATTTATTATTTAACATCGGTATATTGTATGTATGGTATATAGGTATGTGAATATACATCCTTTTTGATAAGACTGCGTGTATATAAGTCAGAATTCCGTTGATTCAATACACACGATTTATTTCATAGAATTCATATATTTACTTTTATTCATTCATTCAGAAATAAATTTGTTAAGTAACAATAGATTTAAATCAGACTTGGAAAAACAATATGAACAATGAATTCATTAGTCTACAATTAAAAATKTATATAAAATAAACAATTCATAAGTCTATGGCATGGTTTAATTTAATTTCGGAAAGGATTTAGTGTAGGTTCGTATTAAATTATCTATAATTATTAATTACAAATTAATCAAAAAACAAATATATTTAACTAATCCCATACGAGACCTATAATATGTCTTCTAATAAAAGGTGCATTTCTTACTTCTGTATTCATATATCATATTATATTATATTACATATTATACTATATAGTAGTTACGTTTTATACTGAATTTATTAATATTAAATGCAATGGTGGTTTAAAAACAACTGTTAAGAAAACCAATTTTTTTAGACAGACATTTAAATTAAATTAACGATTCTGTTATTAGATATTAACATTACCTATATTAAATTCAGATGTAATCAAATCCTGATTTAACCATAGAAAGTTAGCAATATTATATTTCATATATATTTTTATAACTCATTAAAATTTAAGTAGATACTTACAATATTATAACATAGATCGTAGAACAAGATATTATATGTCTGACTAAAAATTACGAAAAATATATTATTATTATTATTATTATTATTATTATCATTATTACATAGGAATATTTTTTTCCTGATAATTTCATAATAGAAGTTTATTAATTAAACGTAAATAATATGAAGAACATTACCATTTACCAGAGAATTGATTTTTATTTTTAACTTTTAAACGGCTATAAGTTATAACTTAATAGTTTTTGTACAATATTAATAAAAATKTCTGACATTTGAGAGTACATTTCCAAAATACAATTTCTGTAAATTTAACTATAGCTCCAATTTTTTCCTATCATAAGATGACTGGTATAACTTTTCCATTATTCAATCTTTAGTAGTCAGAAACCATATAATTTTAAGACGTTTTTGTTGACAAATAATTTAAAATTTTTCATTGCTTGTAAATATCATTCATCTTTGATACAAAAAAATAATACTATCAGTTGTATTATTCAAATAACTATAGCTCATTCATACCTAAACATTTTTTTTTTATTTAGTTCAAATCCTTGAAAAGATACTTGATTCGGATAAAATAATAATTATATTTACATGAATGGTTGTGTAGTGTGTTAAATTATTTAATTTCCATTATGTTCACTTTAAAAATTGATGTTGAATAATCTAACGATGGAAAAAATAATTCTATGATTTGCCATCTGTATGCCAAGTATTACTATTATTTATTGTATAGATATTATCAAACTACATTTAAGTCATACTGATTAATATTCAATAGAAAAACGCTTGTTATTAATAAAATAATAAACATAGGTAAAGAGTTATATTTGTTTATCTTAGTAAGTATGTAATTTAAAATATTCTAAGTTCTATTTAAATTTAAATTTAAGATGACAAGATTAAATGCATCTGTAAATTGTACCCTACAATCATGGGATAGATATTATAAAATGTATTAAATCAATGATATGAAAATACATGTTGTCTTTATACCTCCCAAAGAAAATAAATGTATTTTAAATTATAAAATATTAAACGGTACCTAGTTGTTTAATAAAAATACCTTACCGTCATCTAAGTGACCTTAAAATTTATTATTATTATAAGCGCAATAAAAGTTCAATAATTAATGAATAATATACTATACGATATGTAAAATATATGATCACCCATAGACTATATTTTAATTTTATTTACTTTATTATATTAGACAATGTCATGATAATTTTGTAATACAAAGATACTTGGATACCTACCTAACCACCTAAAACTGATAAAATGATAAATATAGTAGAATTTATTCACTTTATTATTTTTATACATTCATGCGTCTATATTAAAATTAAATGACTTTTTTTTAAATGCACGCAAGTATCCGTAGATAAAATAAGTTTAAATTATTGAGTTTTGAAGTCTGTAAAATAGTTTGATTAAAATATATGATTCGATAACAAATTTATACATTGAGATAATTATGGGAATTTTTACTACTTTTTTCAACTATTAATTTTGTTTCACGTATGTATAAAAACATTATTTTGATTGGCTTATTTGCTGTGTTCCTACGTACAATTGTATTATACCTGTCTGCCCGTGACCTCTAAAAGAGAAAATATTCAGTTAAATATGTATAAACTTGTAACGTTAAATACCTATCAGTTTATAAATTATAATTTATAGTATAATACATTTCAATATCATATTATGCTATGAAGTCGGTTTTTACCAAATCCATTAATATTGCGTACTTACATATTATATTTTTATTATTTATTCTTCATAGACAACGAAAGCGTCCATAACCATTCAAATTAACTTAAGATAATGCAGATGTTTATATATGTTTTAATGTCATTCATACCTATTTCCGGTATGGTGTATACACTATACCCGTTAGGGTACCCACGGATATTAGATATAATATTGATAAATATAGCATATATGGGCCTGTACTGTACCTAAATAGGTTTCTTTATTAAAATTATTTTTTATTCAAAAGATTCCCCCTTACTTCTAAATAAACACTTTTTTGTTAACTCAAAAATATAACTTCATAGTACAGTCGATATTTTTTTTTACTTACTTTTATTCGATTAACAAAAATAAAAAATATTGTATTTAAGTTTAGTTTTATTTTATTAATAGGTAAACACTAAACAGTAAACATGTAACATTTGCTGGGGCAGTTTGATGCTCATTTTAAACTTCCACTATAACATGCCATGGGGGTCCAACGTGTAAACAACTTAATATTATTTACAATATAAATACAATGTTATTAATTGGTTTTCATTTATCAATGTATTAAACATACCTACATATGGACTGTGTTAAATTTGAAGTGACCAAGTACCTTAGTACTTATTATACGTAAAACATAATAAATTATTTACATTTTTAATATTACATATAATGTAGTTTTACTTACGTCAGCTTTCATATTGTCAACGGTTGTACGTTATGTTACATGTCAATCGTCGTGCGGACATTCAATAATAACAACGTTTACGATAATAATTAATGTTTTATGACTAACGACGTGAAACGCGTAAACATCGAATAAACCCGGCAAACACTATGATATAGACGCGCCAACGCACTGTTTCACATGAATAATAATATTTTACTTAGCAAGTGAACCTGCGCCAGTCGCACGCACGAGGAGACTACCTGACTACATTATTATAGCTACCTAACCAGCTATCTTGGGCGACGGCCTCAGTCATCGTTAATGTGTTCATCTTGCATTCTCGTCCCCACCATTAGTGCAAGAGGACACGCTCGGAGTTCTTGTGGTCTCTCATAGCTACATTGCGACGATAGTCCGCGCGTTGTGCGTCTTAGATATTTTGATTCTGTAAAAAGGAATAAAAAAAAAAAAAAACTGTCTAGGAAATCGTACAAACTTGTTTTCGTTTCCAAGCGCGATTCTCTGTCGTACATAATAATAATAAGTATTATATTATTATTATAATATAGGATTATAGGAACCTGCATTGATACGCAGCATAAACTCGTGAAGACCGCAGTTGATTATCGACGGTCGATTTCTATATGCTAAAAATAGAGTTTAAATTATTACTTTTATTATTATTTTCTTCAAAGAATCGATGCTCAAGTCATTATAGTAATATCGTGAAAACAATTTTCAGAAACCTTTTTTTTGGTTCTGGTTTTCAAATTGAATGAAATGAAAAAAATTTATTCAAATTATTCCTCAATATTGATAAGGTGATTACTGATTTGTATTTGTATAGGTACCTATACATAATATATATAAACCTATATAACCATCTATTTATACAATAAACCATTCGTTTAATAGAATAGTGTGTTCTGTTATCTAAAAGGTATTAATTTCATATACGATAACAAATACCTACCTGTATTAAAAAAAACGCAACATGTATCTATAGATTAAAGTTTGTTAATCAAATAATTTTCTTATATTTTTGAACTCTAAACAACGAATTTAAAACAATTACTTTAAATTAGTGAAAAAAATTAATTTTAAATAATTGTTATCTATTGGTTATTATGTATATATTAAATCTACACTTACTTAAATATTTTATCACCTATGTTAAATATGTCTTATACTTAATATTATATTAAAATAGTATTTTTCAACTAAATTCTTGCATAATCTATAGAGATTCGTCATTTATATTGTACTTACCTATATTAATTTTTCCAAAAAAATTTCTAAGCTTCACTGTACTATTTAATTTAGCGAATAGAATATTAGCTTCTAGTAAAATTTCACTTATTTAGCACCAAATACAATTACGATATATCACATCATTTGTTAGATTACACAATTATAGAACTTGATTGTTTTGTTCATTTTGATTCAGTTTTCGTTGAATTATACGAGCATGCTTATCAAGACTAATGTGTTATTGAAAACCTTCAATAATAATAATACAAATATTTTTAAAAATGTAAACACTTGAATTTATATCTAAAAAATTCAAGAAAAATAACCTAAAATGTACAAGCGTCGCAAAAGATTACATTGGAAAGTAGTACAAAATTCATAATGATTATTGTATTAAAAATATAATTAAATTATTTTAAAAACATTAAAAAAAGATTTTTAGCTAAAAAGATCTAAAATGGAAAAAAGAATTTCAATAAAATTTATATATTCTGAATCAGTATAAGTAGTATGAAGCACATTTGAACCTTGATTAACATTCTAAAGAATATAAAGAAAAAATTCAAAAGTCATTAACATCATATCTCCACTTGTCCACTTTCAATAAAAAATACAGTTAAAATTGAGGTTGAATTTTATGTCATATGGATTTTTGTTAAATCTAATATTATGAGGTAAATTGTCTATATTTTAACGATAAGGATAAAGAAATAATCATATTTCCTCATTATTCATAATCATTATGTAAAATATAATGTAGTAAATACGCACATTATGCATAATATTAATCACTGTATTGTACAATTCATTATAGGTGATTTACATTGATCGAATTTGTAAGAATTGCAATCCATTTGAGTGAATAATTTTTTGATATTGTTAGTTGTTACGTATTTGTGTCACCTTAAAGAATTAATATGCTAAAATGTTAAATGTAAATATGCTAACATCACGTAGCCCGTCATATTTTTGTCACCCATTAGAAACTAGCCACATTTGATTCTTTATAATTAGCAAGTTCACCCTAAGATCTGTGCCAATGTTAAAATTTTGCACGAGTACCTATATAAAATAATCATCATTAAAATTAAAAAGTAATAACTATAAAAAATTCAAAAAATATTTTTGTTTTGTAATGACATCACGTTATGTAAGAACATTTGTTTTTTAAAGTTTGAACTTCTAAATAAAAAGTGTAGAATAAAATATAAAATAGTAAATGAATAGATCMCCTCTTACTACGCTTTGTAAGTTTCTCGTTTAATGCCCAACAATAATGTACTAATAAATCGTTTTTATTTATTCAAAGTACAATATTGTTAATTTTTTTATAAAATTATATTAATAAATTTTAACAATCTTTTAATTCTGTGTTTAAAATATATATGAACATAAAATTGTATTATATCTGCATGTTTTTAATGATATTTATAGGATAAAAGAACGATTGAATTTTACACATTTGATTTCTATCTGAAAACCGCAATAAGTTGAGAAATATTGCACAACGTTATGATTAAATGAGATAAGTATACCTATCAGTATTATGTATGTGTATATAAGTTTGTTAATATTTAAAAAAAAAACGTAAAAAATAGTTTTTTTACAAATTTACCTATACCTATCTTAAGGACTAAATCTATCGGTATAATATTATGTACCTATGTCGATATTATGCCAACCAGTAATCATTGCAGCCACACAGGATTACAAAAATACTATATTATTACGAACGACGTGTTAGTGTTGTTATATGGATTTTATCATTGCAAGTCGTTACGAGGATTGTAGTATTGAATTGAAATGTCGAACGCATCTTAATTCTTAATTACATAATAATGCAATATTATCGTTATTCGTTATTACATAATTTCACTACCAATTTATTATCTGTTCAAAAATATAAATTCAAAATACATCACACAAATATAAAAATATTGAATGCTTATCGAAAAAAAAAACTTTATATCTAAGATTAAAAGAATACTTTTAATAATTACGAATTATGACAATTATTACAGTAATATAATGACGCCATGCTGTAATAAAACTAAAAAAGTGAGATGCTGCAGCGGTAATGTAGTTGTAATTGGATATGGGTCACTGCTACGGCTAACAGATGATGTTTTTAGATCTGAGAATAATATTTCAGCACAAGAAAAACTAGTTTTCTTATAAAAAAAATGCTTACTATTTTTTCAAATACGTTGATCTATTTGTCTAATACATATATTTTTAATATATTTTGATTCAATTATCAACAATATAGGACATAATATTAAATGTTCATAAAATAATAAAGCACCTAATAGATATTTTTTGTTAACTACAATTTCATAAAAATATAACGTTATGTATCTGTGTGCAATTTTACAAGCATTCTTTGCTGGTTAATAGTTTTATAGTTTTAATTAAGACTTCTATGAAAATATTAATCCATCGAATTTTGCAATCTTCGAGTGTTTCATTAACCGCGTTGGTCCGTAACGTCCGCAACAGAATTTAATCACTGTTGCGCGCAATGCGCACACTGTGCCAACGTCAATATAGTTTTTGAAGTTTCAAAACTCCGGATTTGCACTCGATTAACGAGTATTATACACTACGATTATGATTATTATKATTGTTATTATTATATCGATTTTCGTCTATCGTAAATATATTTTTGCTTCAGGTCGGGTTAGAAACGGATGTGAACCCTACTGCATACGATCGATTGATCTCTTGCGTTGCTGGCACATTTCCAAGCTTATATTATAATATTTGATATTTTCTGTTTTGCTTTTAAAAATTATGCACACAGGTACAACTTGATTTTTCAAAGACCAAATAACAACAAAAATACTTACAATAAAAACTTAATAAAAGTTTTGCGACATATTGATTTGAAAATTATTTATTATTATAACATATTGTTAATGATTAATAAATATTTATATAGTTCTGCTTAACACAACAATTTTAGTATTATTTTCGTTTTGAACTTTCAAATTATGCCATTGTTATTTGTATTTTCAAACAACTCGACACTTGACATGATAAATAAATAAAATATAAAAATTAAATAAAATCAATGTAAATTATTTATAAATAATATAAACTTTCGAGGTTAATTAACTATGGAGTGCATAATTATTATTATGTGATGACTTATKAATTATGAGTTATGATTTTATGAATTATAAAATAATAATAATATTTATTCATCTGCAGTTTTATATTTGTTTTAGTTGTTTTCATTTTCCAAATAATTGGCCAAGATACAGAAATATGTGTTTGAAACCTATATTGATGGAAGATTCAAATATGTAGGAAAAGAAATCATATTTGTTCTAAAATTGATATGATACTGAAATAATAATTTTAAAAAACCTTCATTTAATTTATTATAAAAAGTTGTAAATACATTATAGGTACTCGAAATTTGAACATTTCTGCAATAATAATAATAATATTTTTTTTTTTTATATTGCTGTTATAAAGCGTTAAAATAATTATATTATTACATTAAAATATTAGATATAAAGAAACTTCTCTTCAAAAGTTAAAGGCTGTGCTTGAGGATAGAAAGTCTAATTAAAGTAAATAAAATTGTTAATTATATGATACAACATGAGAATTAAGCTTATATACATAAATATTTATATACTTAATATAACCTAATATAACCTAATATAAATGATGTATTGTGCTAAATATTGTAATACTATAAGCTTAGAATATGGATAACCTTATAAAAAGATTATTGTAGTATGATATAAGTTATATGTTTTTAAATATTTTGAAAATTTAAAACGATTTAAATCGTGAATATTATGAAATAACATTTAATATAAAATTGAATTTAAAGTCTTTTACGATGAAATTAATGTTTATCATATTTTATAATACCAAACAAATGTTTTTTTGCATACAATAATTATTTAAAGCTATTAGTATTCTTAATTTTATATTGAATTTTATTAAGATTAAGACTATTGAAAATGAATTTCTAGTTGTTAGTTAG